GCTGGAGAATTGAGCTAGACTCTTCCTCCTTTTAACAACAGCGAGCAGAGAAAACAAGCTGAGAAAAACTGTGGCAAAAAAGTCCCATCTTTCTATTCCATTTCTGCATCTTCAAAAGACAAAGCTTTTATGATATTTTAATTTCCAGACGACTGAGCAAGGGATTTTGAAGAACTAAAGTTACAGAAATGTTGCCAGTGTCTTCCAACTGATGGAAAATTACACACACTTTTTTTTTTTTTTCAAAACGAGAAAAGTGGAAATCTGTTTGCATGAAACGAGCAGAGCATGCCATTTCCTTTTATCTTCAGATTATTACCATCAATGATAGTCCTGTGCTCTCTCATCAGTTCTATCAATTCCACGTGCAATGCGTGAAGGCTCTGTGATTAACAAGTACAGATGATGAAGTGAGGACAAACAAATAATTTCTTTTAAAAAACTGACTGTGGTAAGGAAAAAAAAAAAAATCCAAAAAACCAAAACTGCCCTCATTCTCCTCTGCCTTATGTTAATCTGAATAATCTTTTCCTCAGCTAGAAATTCATATTCTGGAGGCTTCCAAACGGACTATAAAAATCCTGGTACTAAAAGCATGGAATTATCTGATGAAAGAAAAAGGATGTTGTATTTTAAGTTTGTTCTACGGCTGTAAATTTCTCTCTGTTTGGTATTTCACGCTGTCATCACGTTGCAAGCGCTCAGAAAGCTGTAATCTTTTATTTTACAACGAGAAAGAGTTTTTGGTAACATCGACGTGTTCAAGGTGTTCCTATTAATCAAAATAAATGTCCTAATACTTTATTCATGAACTGCATTTTAGAGAAAATCTAATTCAGCTACTAAACACTAAATGTGTTAAAATTACACTTAAAGCCTTTTTTCTCCTAAAGCTGTTTCCCTGTACTGTTTCATAAAGTCTGCTCTGACCGTAACTTCATCTATTTTTCTATTTAAATGGGTATTTAAAGGCAGATCCTAATAAATCAGCGATGCCAAAAAGTGAAAAATTAATCAAGATATGCATCATTAGCCTATGACACTAGAACAAGTTGCCTTAATTCACAGATGGCCAAATTTATTACAGATATCATCCACCAAGCAAAAGGTTAAATCTTCCATTAAGACTCCAGCAAATAGGATGAAAGACAATTACAAAGTGTATGAACAAGGAATGAACAAAACAAATATGTATATATTTTTAATTGCAGTTATAAGTCATTTTAGATAAATTCATTTAGTACCAAAAAAAAATTAAATAGCTGTATCTAAAGCCAAGCTTGGAATTACAGGATAATTCAGGTTAACCCTCCCCATCTGCCTCTTGTCCATGCTCACTGTATGTCCACATCTTCGTTCACTTCATTTATTAACTATCTTTTATTTCTCTGCTGGCCTTTATCTATCAAGTGTTTTTTGACTTGGAAACTGGAATAATGAAAATCCTGGGTAAACACACTTCTGAGCTGGAACGATCCTTGTTGCTGTTGGTAAGGAAAGCAGACTAAGATAGCTGGTTTGGGAATGACAAAATGGATGCTTCAAAAATATCCAAGGGCCCAGAATCCTGCTTGTGGGAATTATGTAGTGTAATAATAAAATTAGAGATAGATCATGGAAGACAAGAATCCATCAGAGGATAAAAGCAGCCATAACCTTGGCTCAAAGTAAGCACATCTCAATTATAAAAGACTACACAAAATACAAAACCCCTCATGATGAAACATCAGAGAATACTAAGAATGATCAAATGCATGAAATAGTTTTCTTACAAGCAACCATATACACTCCAGTTTTCCAACTGGAGAGGAAAGATGACCCTTGTGAGTATAGGAGAACATGAAATACAAAAAGAATGAAGGTTTAGTTTCCCTTCCCAAGGAAGAACTAATGTGCATCAAATTAAATTAGCAGTTAGCAGGTTCAAAACAAACTAAAGTGACAGATCCTACACCAGGAAATAAACTGTGAAATTCTTCTTGTCTGATGCTGTAGGTGCTAAAAGTGTTCAAGTCTAGTCAAAGAGCTTTCGACAAATGGATGGAGGAAGAATCTACCACGGGCTATTGAAGACAAAAATTCCCCCACAAAACTTGCTGCTGAGAACATCTTTAAGCCACGACCCACTGCACACTGGCAGATACTTGAGAGGGTTCTCTCCATGTATTTATCCTGTTCTTACAGCAGATGCCCAGGAAAGAGCAGAACTCCCTGCAGGAGATGAGATCCACCTCCCTTGGCTTGGATCCAGCACACCCTCTCTCTCAGCCAGCTCCAGTTCTGCCCCTCTCAGACAAGGCCCCCCTCTATAATTTGTGTGCCCTCCATTTATCCTGGGGGAGGGAGGGGCTTTTTGCTCGTAAATTACTTCATTTACAAGAAGTGTTTGAAGGAAGAAGTTCCCTGTCAGAAGGGAAAAAAACATCCTAGAGTGGAACACCTAAACTTGCCAGATGAGGGCAGATTTACCAAGGTCCAAAGGGCTGCCATCAGTAGACAATTTTCCCATTGCTACTCCTTCTGCAGAAGGGATGATGTTTCCCAGAGGAAGCATTTTAGGAGTCATGACCTCACTTTGAGGCTTAAGCATTTGGTACAAAATACATCCACACACTTCTCCAAAGAGGAAAGGTGAGACATGCCCAGAAAAGTAATACAAGTTTAGTAAGTATACATATGTGCAGAATATTTTATAGACTATATATGTTCCATTTAAGTAGCTCCTCTATAAGTTTTCTACCATTAGTAAAAATTATTTTTAAAGCTGGAATCAATATTTTGTTAAGCTGATGAGAGTACTTACCTGAATAGTAGTCCCTTGGCCTGCCATGGTCAGTGAAGAAAGAAATGCCACCTAAATAAAAGAACAATGCATAAGTCAAATTCACTGGTTCTTACCATCCACATTTAAGAAAAAAAAGTTGATTTATTTTCTTCTGCATTCACTTCAATAATTTGTCTAAAAACATGCAAGAAAGGTCTGAATCTCTCCATGCAAGACTTAAATGAATTTTAAAAATAAACGTGTTTCTTATGCAGATTTTGTAAATCCAGCAAAATTCTATACCTGCACAGGCTTCCATGATCTTTTTCAGAGGTCCCTTAGTGTACATCAATCCAACAAGAATCCCTGCTAGATGCCCAGCAAAAGAAGTCCTACAAAATAGGAAAAAAATTGTGAGTAATGGAAAGGAAGACTTTTTTCTGGGGAGGGGGATACTGAAGGAAGAGCGTAGAATTTGTTGTAATCAAAGAGGTCCCTGACTGAGACCAAGCACAGAGAAATCACCTCCTGCAAGGACAAAATGCCAAGTTTTCTTTCTTCAAGACTAAAAGTTGGTAGGTATATACAGATATAGGAAAGTATCTAACAAATGCCCTGAAAAAACTGGAAATTAATTGGAGAGAACATTTTAATTGCTCAGTTAAAGGACAGAATACCCTTTCCTTAAAAGCATTTAAAGACTTCTGAAAGCAGCAAACTCATTTTAAACTTTAAAAAAGTAACACCACAGACTCAGACTGAAATATCTAGGCAGGTCTTACCAAAACCATTAGAGTTTGGAGTGAAAGCACAAGCACTGAACTTCCCAGCGGAATTATCAAGTAAAAGAAGTCAATACACTGAACATTAAAATTTCCTACTATGTGCAATTATAAATAACTCTTTTACACTGGTTGTCAAGTAATATAAGCTTTTTTGCCTTTCTGAAGTAGAAATGAAACCTCTACTGTAAAAATAGACTTTAAAATTGCATTTTTTACGTTCTGGTTAGCAATCAAAAGGAGTTACACAGATGGCATGTGCACTCAAGACAATACAACTTCCAGGCATCTCTGGCAAAAGGATACAGGGAAATGCACGTCACTAGAGGGAGGTAAAGATCAAATCTAAATGGACTGTTTTGCCACTTACCTAATCACAAACTTGTGTTGTGCTCTGTAGAGCTGTGGTTCTCTCCCATAAGTAACTAATGTCTTTTTTGGAAGAGTAACATGTACATGCTGTTGTGAAAATTAATAGGTAAAAAGGTAGCTAACAAAATAAAGGAACTAATTTTTCAAACAGATTTTTCCAAGTTCATGAAAAATGCATGCCTGACTTGGAAAATGTCTATCCTCAGAAAAATTAAATACTTAAAAATCAGCTCCTCTAGAAATCACCAACACAATGTGGATTCACTTAGGACTTAAGACACCACATGCCCAGTTCTAGGAGAGGCACAGAGATCAAACATAAAGTAACTTCTCACATGTCTGTTCTTCCACCAAACAAATAATCCCAAGGAGTGCTGTCCAAAGCCTACATCCCATTATCCTTATTTTATGGAAGGTGAAGATTAGAAGGATACTGCATGCCTTTTAAAATTTCCCCAAAACAAAATCATTATTGAGAAAGAAAACCATTAGATGCCAGTAAACCCCTAAATCCCCTCCAAGCAAACAAATCAAAGTTTTCAACAGCCTCAGTGTTACTTCAGGATCTGTCACTGGTTATGGATTCTCAGGTGATCCTGATGGATCAATCCAATAAGACAGGTCCAAATTTATATGCATTTTGACTGGACAGAATTCTGCCCCAAATACTGATCTCTTATCTATTCAAAATTAATTATGCAACTCTGTCTACAAAGGGACACTCCAGAGCCTGTAACTTGCCCTAAGGATGTAAGAGCAATGCCACGAGAGCTACAATTGCTGTGGTTCATTTCCACTCAGTTGGCAGTTACTAATCAAACATGTTGTGTTCTAGGTCATGAATTTCTGAAGTTACTACTTGTTTTCTATTATCATTTAAGGGCTGTGAGATTCTTCTGGGTAGAGGACACTGCAGAGGTTCAGACAAGGCACCAGCCTAAGCTTCCATAAAATTATGAAATGGTTTAGACCTTATTTCTGAACTTTTCATACTCTCTGTACCCCAAAGATATTTCTGCAGCAATGCAATGGAAAAACAACAGCACTCAACCTCTGAAACCGTGTTTTTCCTCTACCACAGCCAGTATGATATATGCTCATGGCTTGACTTCATACATAATGCTCTTCTCTTATTCTTTTATAATAAAATAAACGGTAGTGTTAAACATACCACAAATACAAACTCTGTTTTTGTAATACAAAAGTTTATACTGCACTTTTTTTTTTTTTTTGATCTTTCTGAAAAGTGGGACACTGGACATAAACTGTGATTTGGTCGTTTGTGGTGTTTGTATCTGTACTTCACATATATTCTGCAATATGGTTTGCAGTTATAAAATATTATACAGGATGATTTGCAAATACAAGTCCAAAAATCAACAGCCAAAGAAGAGAAAGGCCCTGTTCTCACAGAGGAAGGGGTGGCTGAACTGTGCTGGCAGAGCAAGGCATGCAGGAAAATTGAGGGAGAGGATCAGCAAGGACAGTGACACTCCATAAAACTGGTGGAATATCAGGTAATAGTTTTATCAGAACTCAGAGGAGCGACTAAACCAGGCAGAAGCGAGCAGGATGGAAATGGCAAGCCCACAGTGGAATGCTGCTTTGCTCAGGAAGCCCTTGGCACTACCGTGTGTTAGTCTGGTTACTTTGTTGAAAACACACATCCCTTTTCCTTGCCCATCAGCTTTTGTTATCTTCCCTTCAATACTCAGTAACACCTTCAGGGAAGGTGTTACTACTTAGAGCATTTCAGTCTTTTATTTATTATTGTGCTCAAAACAGAGGGTGTTCAGGAAAAAAGAAGACCCGTGGCCTCGAGACTTAATTTTGTAACCCTAAAATTCCACCTGGGTACCAGCTAACACTGCTCATGCTTCACCAGACACTTCAGAGAGCCCAAAGCACCTTCTCCTGACTCTGAAACGTTAAACGCACTTACCCTGGGGCGATGAAATGGATAGCCAGCAGCTCCACCCAGCAGGCGTATTTACTGGAGAGCCGCACCCCGAGGACGGTGCTGACCCTTCCCGGGTTGTAATGGTTGTTAAGAACCTTCAGAGCAAACAGGACTCCTGCAAACAAGAAGAAATGGCATGAAGAGAAAGGTGCTCCTGCACAAATAACAGAGAATGCAAGCAGTTCAGGCTAAGGGACTTGAAGAACCATGCAGTTCCACAGCACCACCAAGCATGTTGCTGCATGCCAGAACAACAGCTCTAAGCTGGTTTTTCAGTGATACTTTTCAATGACTTCAAAAAAAAAATAAAAGGATATAAAAATGATGTATTTGTGTAACAGCCAATTCTAGGTAGGTTTTTAATATGCCGACTCACTGTAGCTATTCAGGGATTCCAAACGACACAAGTTTTAAAATGGGAGTTCCAGGTGAAATAATTGACAAAAATAGTGAACTGAAAAAAATTTGCTGCGATTTGGGAAAAGCCATTACTGAAAACAAGACAAACAGATATGTGTGAAGCTTAACAGTAGGCTCAAATTCTAAATTAATGAAAAATCATCTTACATATACTCCAGAATCACTTGTTTCTGAAAAAAAAAAAAAAAGCAGATAAATCACCTTTAAACACAGTAAATAATCACTCATTTCTAGTTGACTGCAACTGTTTCATCGTGCAAGCAACAGCTGATACAATGGAAGGAATCTGAAGAACTTATGGGAAGTTGCAAGTGTTTGTGAAAAAAAGTTCCTCCCGAGAGAAAGCGCTCAGTGGTCTGAAAAAAAAACCTGAAAAATCAGCAAGTCCAAGTTTTGCCATGGACACACTGACATTGTGGCACAGGCAGCCAAACCCCTCAGGGAAAAGGAGTTTGCACTCAGGGCCCCTAAAGCCTCCACAGAGGCCAATATTGGAAGGGGGCATGACTTGTTATTCAAGGGTGGGTGACCAAAGATCAGAAGCTCCAAGTGAGCAGCTCCCAGGATGTTCCAACCAGTACCCATTGGAACATCACAAAGAAACCCTCAGAGGCATGAATAATTTCTAATTGAAGCTAAAAATTTTAAACTGGTAGATTTTTCTGGGAAGCCACCTAATGAGCATTACTGACATCAGAAAATGAAACCCCTCGGACTTCAATCCATCAGTGGTATTAACCAGGAAACACAGTTCCAGCAGGATGAAAACAGTTTTCGTGTTCTCAGGTAAAGTCACTGTCGGTCACAAGAACACGAACTGAATTACATGATGTTCATACCCAGAGCACAGGCTTTAAATGAAAAAATAGGAAAGCTTTACTAACATGACAATCACATATACAGGGAAACGGACACCCATCCATTTTCTGCAATTAACAATTATCCTTCCATAGCACCTCTAAATAACTAAATTTATGTATGTAAATTGGACCAACTCTGTGTTTTACCTGAAAAACCTACACCACAGCTCATCCCATAGGAAGGGTCATCCAGAATTTTCACGAGGAGGAATTCCAGCACCACATACACAAGTCCAATCAGCACGGAAAACACCGCAATTACGTAGGCAAACCACACGCTCTTCAGCTTTTTTTCCAGCATGATCCCCTTCCAAAGCATGGAAATCATGTTATAGTACAAATGCCAGTCATCTGCGTGGTGGAAAGGAGACAGCAGCAAGCGCTGCCAGTCCTTTCTGTAGATGGCTTCGTTGACACTGATGCACACTTCAGCCAGCGGCCTCACGGGGTTCAGGAAGAGAAAAACGTTCAGTGCAAGCACCCCCAGGGTAACAGGAGGAATGTTCTGGAGTCCCACCTGGGAGATTTGATAAAGCAGCAAAAGCAGCCCGGCATTGACTCTTCCCTGCCTTCGTTGCATTATTACTGCTCGTTCATGGGAATGGGAAGATGATTCCGATTTCTGGTCTTCTGTTCAGTTTCAAAACCATACAAGATTTGGAAATTCTGAAAGAAAAAAAAGGTAACTTGTTAAATGCCTTTTTGGTTTTTTTAACACTACAAATTCATCAAGGTAATCAGCTGAGACCTCTTTTATATCAGAAGAAAAACTTAAGTGAGAATGGAAATCAGAATTTTTAAACTGATATGAGGCACAAAGAAAGAGATTGATACATAAAATCCAAACAAGCATTGTGAGACAAAGCAGTCTTCAACCTCACTTTCACAACTCAGGACAGGTTTTACTTAATCTGCAAAATATCTGAGTGTTCTAGATATATTCTCATTATTGTTCTCATTCACTCAGAATTATTAAAATTTCAAGAAGGAAAAAAAAGAAAATTAAAAATTCTCTAGAATCTCTGTTTCTGGGCTTCCTATCTTTGCTACATATTTATTTTTTCCACGACTGTTTTTCAACTTTTACAAATAGTCAAAACAAGCAAAGCACAAGAATTAACAGTTACAATTTCAAAAAGTAACAGAGAGACAGTTAAGCACTCCTAAATGTAAGCTTTGAAAATGGTTACTGCTTTCCTAGGGATTAGGACACAGACTTTAGTTTAAAAGTATGTGATGGAGAAAGGAAAACTGTAGGAGGAAAGAGCAGCATTACCTTCTTTTTCACTACATAAAAAATAGCTGAACTTGTTAACATACTAATTTTATTTAAATTCCTAAATTCTTTAAATTACATTTATGTTTACTACAGCAATCTAAGAGAAGAAAAGAAACTAACTTGGTTGGGGTTTGTATCCTCAAAACAACTGCAGTGGAACAGAATGCAGGTAAAATGTCTTTGCTACGTTACACCAAAAGTCACTGCATTTTTTCCCGTGGTCTTCTCCTGGAGATGCTCCTCAATATCTAAGCCTTGGCCAGGACAGAGTGGAAACTGCAGAAAGGCTCTTTATACCAGGCCAGTTCTGGGACCCAGAACTAACTACACTGGTGCCTCCAAAAACCAGCTTCTAATCCTCACATTTAACTCCAGAGACCACAGCTGTTGCCCCCACAAACTTCAAATGAGCCAACCTGTTAAAGTGTAAATTGATCGTTGCAGATAATTGACACCACCGGCCTTGGGTGTTAAAGTTAACACTACAAAAAAAAAAAAAAATTAGTTAATCAAAAGTTTAATCAATGTTATTCTCTTTTCCCACACCACTTGCTCAGCTGTTATCAGGTATAGTGACACCCCCAAATTATTCTCAGATTCCCTTGCCCAGACCTCTGCCTTTTCTTGTACCATTTTTTCTATCACAAAACACTCAACATAAAAACTCCTAGAATTTAAAAGTCATTTGAACATAAGTTATATGGGAACCTCGAGATCTTGCCGTACCACGTTGTTCAAATTGCCAAATACTACAGCCTTGCATTTTAAACTTTCCATCTCCCTTTTGATACTCTTGAATTTCCAATATTTTAACATACGTGCACCTAAGAAATGAAACCCCATACAACACAAAACCATACAATAATCATGCAACACGCCTGGGAATGGTTTACACCGTGATTAAGGCAGTGCTAGAGGTGCTGTAAATCATTCCCATCACTGGGAGCAATCAAAAATGTCAGCCAAGAAACACCGTGCGTTCGATTGTAGGGGGGAAAAAAAGATATAAGAAAGAAAACAGGAGTTATTTGAGAGCCTCCTGGAATGCAACTCTCAGAAAACATATAGAGCTTTCAACTGTTTGAACATTCCTTCTCAGCCTCTACCCTGTTTATTAAAAGGCTAATGAGGCTTCAAACAATGAAGCACTCTTTCCTTTTTCTTTTCCTGAAAACATGCCACCCACTTCAAAATGGACAAATTTCCAGAAGAGACTTGAAAAGGACATTTGTCTCGCATCCAACCGGCCACGTGGCTGCATTTTTGTCACCTACTCAAGATAAATGTCTGAACTAAGCATTCTCGGAATTTGTTTGTTTGTTTTGTGCTAACCGAGTGTAAAACATTTAAATCTTTTATTTTTACTGTGACAACCCCCTCTCGCTCACTTGGCAACCGTAAAATATTATGACTTCATATGACTGAAAAATCATGTAATAAAGTAAATATTTTAGCAAAATACCAGTTAAAATGAAATGTCGTGCTGTCTTTTCCCGCAGCTGTAATTTGAATCCAGAAGGAAAGAATCTTCCTGTGTCCTTGCTCCCCCAAAATGGACAGAACCACCCTGAAATTCTGATTTATGTTTAAGTGAAAACCAAAGCTCTCAACCATTTTACTGAGGCCCTCAAACTTTGGAAGGGGGTGAGGGAAAGGCATAGCAGAGGAAAAACAGAACAAAACAAAACAATGCAAGAAAGCAACCCAAAACTCTGAAACATAATGAATCATCCTGTTTATATTCAATATGTGTGCAAGGAGAAGGTCAGCCACAAGCTGTCAGCTACAATAAGCTTTGAAATGTACACTCAATTACACAGTTCAAAACAAAGGCAAGGTTCTGACTTCATTATAAAATTAATTGCTTCATAAAGAATGAGTTCTGCATTCATCAAACGTGCCTTTAAAGAGCATAACGTGCTTTCATTCACAAAGGAACGCTGAATGGTGAAAAGGCAGTTTTTCAGAATTTGGTGGGAGAAGCCACCCATCTTTTGTACAAAAGTTTTAAAGCAATTTAGGTCAACAACCACCTCGTTGGAAGGAAACAATACAAAATTAAATATCAATACAAAATGACTACATAAAAGGTTACATCACAGCCTTTTTGTTATGCAACATTTTAAAAGTTCTCTGTGAGAATAAGGAAGTTCTTCTGCCTCTTATGTCTGGCTTCAGCATGAAAATTGAAAATCTTTTATAGCCCTTTAATCCTCTTAAGTACTACTAAAAAGAAGTCCTTAACAAAATAAGCTTTTAAGCTAACAACTCCAATTTAAAACTGAAAAGTCACACTCTGAAGGGTGTGACAATTACTATTCACAATAATATATACAGGTTAAACAATACATGCCAAGAGTAATTTTGGACACCTCATCCCAAAATAAATGAGACAGCTTTGAGAGGGAAGAACCCAAGGGACTAGGTCGAATCTCATACTCTGCCACACATCTTAAGTACGAAATCTGAGAGACTCAGCATTTAGGTTTTTAATTGCCTCATCAGTTTGGCAACTGCTGATTAACCTAAAAAGAAAAAAGAAGTATTCAAATTGTTTAATTATTATTAACATGCACGGGAAGCCCTGACAATTTTGGACCCAGGTTTTCATGCACAAAAGAGAAATCAATTTGGTTTATAAGTCATCCATTTAAATTTAATTAGGCTTAGTACACCAATCTAAATATCAGAACAAGCATCCACTGGATGAGAAACGTTATTGGATGCAACAGAGTCTCCAAAAGCTCTTCAGTTTCTGAAAAATCAGAACAATAATTACTGACAACTTCTTTATATTGTGATCCAGGAAATTACTGAAAATATGCCCATTATGTGACTAATCTACTACTAATTTTATTTCTTCCTGATATTTCAGCTTCTTTGTAGACTCTCTCATAACAGACATTAATTAGTACTACCTCCCAAAACACTAGGATACATCTATGTTAATTGAAGTTAGAGCAGCAAAATAATAATAAATATTTATATCACTTTACAGGTGAAGGCGAGGGGATGTCACAGTTTAAGAAAATAACAATACACCAGATCAACAGTGAACTTCAGATTAGGCCACAGAGTTTTAACTTCACAGATGTTTAACTCTAATTAGGGTCAGGAATTTGGTTTTCAGTCGGATATTTTGGTTTAGTTGATTGCAATAGTTACACTTGCATAATCCTAGAACTGAATAATCATACTAGAAGACCCTCATCCTTTATCTCAAGAATTTTGTAATATAATTAAAAATTAAGCCACCAATGATTGTCTGACTCCACTTCAGAAGTGAGAAGCACAAGGACTCTTAAAACTTTAGCATTCCTTAGTTTGTATCGCTTTGAAGGAAAATTTGTCTTATTTTCTAATACAATCCATTTTAAAAAATACTGGTTAAATACCCAAACAACTCCAAAACACACACTTTGCAGTACTGGTGTTATGCTACTCTTGCCAACACCTCAAATCTATCTCAGTTAATAAAATGCAGTTCCAGGAAGAACACCTTTGTGCTATTTCAGGAAACCAAACCAGCTCAGGTATTAATTACACTTTAAAACCACCTGAACTACTTAAACTCCGTGTTAGACAAGCATGAGAAAGTTTATCAAACAAGCTGAGGTTCATTTTGTCTTTGCTTGCTTGCTTGTTTGTCTTTTAAAGAACTTTTTTAAAATTACTTACAGCTTTGCTGCTGTTTGTTTGTTTGTTTTTACCAGTTTATCGTTTTGACAAAGAAAGGGGGCTATAGTTCCGGTCAGACATTATTTATTTACTTATATATTAGTGTGTTATTTATAGAATATATAAAAACATTGCCGTAGGAAAATGGAGTATGATAATAACAAGAACAATAATGTGTTGAAGCTGAGAGGAGCAGCAGCACAGGAGAGGGTGTGGCAGCATGAGGGGCACCCGATGACTCTGCGGGTTCCCACACTCGGCTCCTGCGGGCCCCGCTCCCTCCTGCGCGGCCAGAGAGCCCTGCGAGGAACAAGCGCCACAAAAACGATAGGGGGGAAAAAAAAAGCTGCGCCAGGCGGCGAAAGCGAGAAATATCAGGTACTCGTACGACTCCCGAAACTCGCTTCGCTCCCTCAGCTTCCCCCGCCACTAAAGCCTCGGGGAGGGAACCCGGGCAGAGAGCGCTGGGCTGGCGGTACCGGCAGCCCCGGCTCCCCACACACTGCCGGGCCCCGCCGGCCGGGGAGCCGCTCCTGAGCCGGGAGGCAGCGGCAGGGCAGGAGGGGAGGGAAAGCCGGAGCCGCCTCCCTGCCCCTGCTCCCGCCTCACGCCCCTGCCCGCCCGCCGAGGCTCCAGCGCCCCCCCCGCCCCGCACTCACGTTCTCCGCCGGCAGCGCCCGGGCCCTCCCGCCGCCACCCGTGCCGGGACCCGCCGGGCCGGCAGGGGCGCTGTGCTGGGTGCTGAGGGGGCGGTGATGAGAGGGCGGTGATGAGGGAGGTGCCCCCGCCGTCCCCCTCAGCCTTATCCGCGGGGCAGGCGGGGCCGACAGGGAGCGAGCGAATGATAAGCGGCCGCCTCTCAACAAAACCCCTTGGAAGAGCCGCCCGCCTGCCCGGTTGGGAGCTCTGAGCTGCGCTTTTGCTGCGAAAATATCGATTAGTGGTGCCGCTCGCCATTCAAACGGGTAATCAGGTTCCCTTTGCACGTGCTGGTTCTGCAAGCTTAATAGAGCGGGGACTTTTTTTCAAGTAAAAAAAACAAAACAAAAAAACAATTAGATTGCCACATCACAGAGTCAGTTCGGTTGGAAAAGACCTCTGAGATGATCGAGTCCAGCCTGTGACCGAGCATCACCACGTCAGCCAGACTGTGGCACCGAGAGCCACGTCCAGTTTTTCCTTAAAACACCCCCATCGCCTTCCCGGGCAGCCCATTCCAACCTCCAGTCCTCCTTTCTGTGAATAATTTCTTCCTAATATCCAACCTAAACCTCCCCTGGCACAGCTGAAGACTATATCATACTAGTACTCGCGGAGAGGACTAGTCACTGGTGTCACTAATCGCTGCATTGTTCCCCAAATTTGACACAGATACCCAGACTGTGAGTTTTGTTATTAATACTGACTAGGGGACACACCGAGCAAATTATAAATGCCTCAAATAATTGGTTATCATAGAAATGCTGGCAAGCCGATGGTGCAAATATGTGACTAGAAATGAATCATGCAAGCCCCACAGCCAAGGCTACATGTAAAAGGCCCTATTTTGCCGTCGTTTATGTGGCACTTTAGGTTTCACAGAACATTTTGGCAACTCGCACAAGTATGTCATAGAATTTATAAGAAAATTGCATTCTGCCCTTCCAAAAACAGCACACAGCTCAGCAGACTGGCAGGCATGAAAGGGGCTGAATTCCTAGAAATAGGGTGGAGATCAAGTTAAAGGAGCAGGCTTTGCCAAAACAAGCAGCTTCAGCATAGTCCTCGCTTCCAAGGCTGAACAGCAGCCAAAAGAGGAGGGCAGACTCGGTGTGTGCCACCATTTAGACACGTTATCTTAAGCTCCTTAGTTCTGGCACATTTAGATCTGTTACCTCAATTAATGCGAATCATAGTAATTCGTAGAAATCACAGGATGTGGGAGTTAAAAAATGCCTAAACTGATAGATTTTCTATCATAGCCCAGGTTTTCTACAGTTGGCACCATTTTCTGTAATAGCATACTGCATTTTCATGCAATATAATTCCAGTCCCTAATTCTTAAAAATGCGGTATTTATTGCCTGGGTACAGGTCCAGATCTTATTACTGGGTGTGCAAGTCCTGAGGTTGTGGTTCTCTTCTGGGACCTAGAAGAGCCTAGTTCCATTCCTGCATCAGCCTGAGAAATCATGGATTTTAATATTCACTCTTCTCAGGTCCTTATTGGATAATAGAAGTCACAGGAACAATGAGAGGCTAAGTAAACAAAGCCTGTGTTTTGATGCTATAATTAATGGGCCACATAAATAGCTAGATTAAAACAAACAAACGAACAAACAAACGCTTTGTACTTTTTACCCACGTGGGGGATTTTATGCCCATTAAGCTCTTCAAATTTGGTGGGCTTTTCCTTGTTCTTACACAAATTTTCCTAAAAACCCACCAGATTTTCTGGGTTGTTTTATACTTACATAAATAGCTGGTTATAAGAAGAAAAAGAAACACCTGCTGCTCCCTTTCTTTAATCTCATGCCACCAATCACCTCATGGATTTCTTTTACCTCTTCGTCTAAATGTTAATTTCTCTTACAACAAAATTCAATAAAATGAGAACTTCTCTTCACAAACTACAACTTCCTTTTGTGTGGAAAAATTCAGATTTTGACATGCATGTCCCACATGTGCTATTGCTCAGGTTTCCTCAACATGAAAGATATCCTTGAGCGAGAATTGCCGAAGGGCTGACACATAAAAGATGTAAGAAAATATCCCTTTCCATTTAAGCAACTATTAACAGTGTATGTTTCCTGGCTACGTCTGGCCTGATTAGAAAGAGAATTTAATACCTGGAAAGAAAATAAAGAAAAAAAAAACCCCAAAATATCACTTTCAGAAGCCACGCACACTGAGTACAGGAGTGACGCATACGGCGAGCGCTGCTTACGCCTTCCTGCTAACTATATAATCCATGTAAATATTTATCACCCAGCTATTATCAGTGCAAACATACAGCTCAGTCATATGTTGACCCATAACGAAAAAGTGACATTGAGATCTTTGCTTAATAGCACAAGGCTTTAAACGAGTTTTAGGAGCAGTAGAGCAGATCTCAGAACACTCATTTTTTTTCAGCGTGCAACAGTTTGGGAATGAACATCCTGCTGTGAATGCATGGATGCAAATTAAATCCATATCTGAAGGATTTTTTTTTTCTTTAATTAATGCTGGGAATCTGATAGCAGCATATTTGAAACGTTGTTTATGTTAATCTTAAAGGAACTAGTTAGGACTAGCCTGTAAATGTAAGAAGAATGTCAGAGTGTAGTTATGGGAAAGGAACTTTGACTTTCCTAGACTGTCAGTACGTGACAGTGTTTACAAAGAGTAGAAGAAGAGAGAAGCAGTAACCCAGAATTTGATACACAGAACGTTACGAGTCTGTCAGAAAATTAACAAAATACAGATGATTAAAGGGCCAGTTTAAACATGTTGTTAGTTTATATACAGCTTACTGTACCGCTGCTACCAGTCTGGTTCTGAAAACATAATGCCTGTGGAAACTGTGGAGGCAAGACTTCTGGAGAGATACAGATGGAAATATGATCTGATAGCAAATGTTTTGTATGAATTCAGGGCTTACTCTTCTGGAGCCTTTGATCTGACATGAACATTGGGTTTACATTTAACACTGGTAGCCCACCCATAGTAATTAATCTCTCCTTAGCTGGCAGTGCACTTTCCCCAATCCAGCTGCCATCATCACCAGCACTGTAACTTTATGATACAATTTGGACAAATGGAGTGAAAAATGGAGGTGCTTTCTCTCCAGCTTATAGAGATAAAACGGAATATATCCTGGAGGATCCTAATTTGTTCACATATCTGCCAGAAGGAACAGAGGAAACATATGGCAGAAAATAAAAGAGTGTATTGGGCTGAATTTGGGCTGGAAGAAAGAGCCCAGCATCAAAAAAGTTTTATAACACAGCCAAGTGGGTATCAGATCATCCACTCTCCTCCTGCTTATCCAGATGCTTCCACATTGAGTTGAGACACTTCAGTTAAGCCAAAGCAGTTTTGAAAAAGCTCAAAATCCTGAGCTGTTGTTTGTGACCAGATGAGAAAGGAGTAGATGAAATGGCAGTGTTAAGGAAATTAATGTGTCAGCCATGCCAAGAAGATGGTACCAGGCAATCCCTTCATGCAACCGAACGGCTTTCTGAAAAAGGTATCAAAATCAAAGAGAATATAATTTGACATCAAACTATAATTTAAAAAGTTATGGAATAACGAGAGTCAACTGCTGTCATCTAAAACTGATTTTAAAAAATGTATATGCAAACATTTATCTTCATTTTGCCTGACCACAGGAATGTTAAATAATCATTACTAAAACAGTTGAAAAGTTGTTATTCATAATAATACTATAGGCAGAAAATATTCTGTTGAATACAGTTCTTTTTTTTCAGTGGCAGCATAATTTACATCTCATCATTCACAGTTTATAAAAATCACGAAGTTAAAGTATATTCTGCTGCTGGCAGGGAATTTTTGTTAATACTCTAGCTGTGAAAATTTTGTGATTATTTCCCATTTCCATAAAGCGTTCACATAATGTTTTCCTTTATGGAAACACGGGTTTTGATCCAATTTTTTATGAAATTTGAACTGCTCTATATAACAAGGATGTGTTAGTAATCTGGTGACATATTTGTGTGCTCCACTGGCCTGCAGGATGCCAGGACAGTGGAAGCAATGTCCTTCCCAAGAGAAATGAAATGTCGATTTGCAGCATTCCCAGGTTCCCAGCTCTCAAAGTTGGGCTAATCCAGAGGCGACACCGGAGGGCTTTATCTGGCACTCCCTGTAAAGAAGGATTTGTCAAAGACAGTACAGGAATTTCTCCAGAAATTATATTTAAGCCTCTTTCTAGAAGTCTTTTCTTGCTTTGTATTTTCTCCTGGTTATAGGAGTAGAATTCAGGCTCTGCATGTTTTTGTCTTCGGTGCTAACCTTGATCCTACATCATATATGCTCATCAGCCTGACCCATGTCCGCTGCAGAGAGACTGAGAGGCAGAGGCAGGGGCAGGGAAACATTTGGAAGAGGGGCTGATACCAGCAGAAGGCTGCTTCTAAAATTTTTCTTCGCAATTCAGTCTTTTTATTTGTTTTCATACAAAGAAGGAAGCTTTATTTCCCTCAGAGGTTTGAACCCCAGAAGTAATGAGGAGGCATATGGATATTCATAGTATCCATAATATTGAAATGGGCATTGATTATTGTTTGGGTTTTTTGGATTTCTGTGTTGTTATCTTAAACTTCATGGGCTTCCTAAAGCTGTCTTTAAAATGTTAAAGTTTATTTAACATAATTAAACCTAATGAAGGCATCTGTCATGTCTGGGTGTCCATTGCCTTAATTGACTGACGAGCCTCAGATGGGTCGTCCACCCACACCCCTGCCTGTGGGCCCAGAGACCCATTTAAGGTCAGAGCCAGGGTTTTAGTTCTTTCCTGAGTGGGGTTATAGCTGTGTTGGTCTTCAGCTCCTCCTCAGCCTTGCCCATCCTGGTGCAATGCCTGATTTTGTGTTCCCGGGCTTGCCTCCCACCTTCTCTGTCACCATGGGCTGCCCTGTTCTTTGGGCTCTTGGCTGAACCAGCTGCTGCCCCTGGACCTTTCCTGCCCCTTGCTCGGGTACCTTGGAG